GTTCTGGCGACTGACCATGATTTTCTCTTCGGCGTCTTGCCATCCTCCGCAGTTGAATCGTTCGGTATCGTTTTATTTTCCTGCTGTTGTTGTTGAAGCTGCTGTTCTATCTTTCGCGGGCACGGCTGGCGTTATCCTCACGTGGCATTGTCGTCGGGCCCCTTCATAGGTTGTTTTTGTCCTGCTTGGTGACGCGGCACAACCAGTATTGAGCGATCCTGGTGCACCTGTCCCTGCTCCTTGTTTCGGATGTGACATAGTTTTCGCCATCCCACCTCCTGGCCCTCGTTGGCCGTGGGCGACAAAGCGTGTGAGATGTCTGGCTGTCCGCCTCCGCCTGCCCCGTGCCCACCTCCATAGGACTAGAAATCGCCGACCCCTTGTGGTTCCCCGGCATATGAGATAACTGCCTCCCCCTCCCGAACCGCTTTCCCTGAGAACCCAGTCTGGCGGGTTTTGAGTGGGATCATCTAGCCTTGCAAAACACGCAGACGGCCATTAGACGGGCCAACATGAGCGCAATACTGCTCCATCTGGTCTCCAAGTTGCCTACGTTTGCTCACAGACGGCCCCAGATGGACTCTAGACTCTAGACGGCCTCCAACATGGCCCAAGAAAGCTCCAAGAGAAACTCCAAGACGGCCCCGATAGGCAAACATCATTTCAATACCTGAGGTAAACGATCATGTCTAGCCCCTTCGCCATTTAGGTCCCCGCAGCGTCTACGACGGCCTACGAGGCCTCCAACATCCCCCCAAGACAGCCTACGAGGCCGCTAAGTGAGCCCCCAAACCGCCCAAGAGGGCACACCAGGCTCCTAAGACGACCCCCAAAGCGCTCAAGACGGCCCCAAGAGGGGGACAGCGAAGGTGCCTTCAAGCCAATCTAATTTCAGAGACCGCCCCGAAGCCCCCAAGAAGCCCCAAGGGCCCCGCAAAGGGCCTCCAAGAGGCCCCCAAACGGCTCCCAATTCGTTGCTTATTGCTGGCCCCGCGGCTTGGCCCTCACTGGGGTCGGCGGTGCTGCGTAATCCCGTGAATCATGTTTGAATGGGGAGTCACGCCCACGAGCTCCTAAATACACCTCAGGGCCCGTGGCTCCGCCCAGACTTTAAACTGGGCCCTGGAGAAAGAGTCCATGTAGACCAAGAGGGCTCCAATAAGCTCGACTTTGACCCAAACGGTCGGTGAAGGCCTTCGCAACGTCCCCAACTAGCCCCCAAATATTCCCGCGAAGGCCTGTTACTCTCGACCTACACGGAAAGCGCCCGAAAAGACAAAACAATACAAACATCGAAGGGTTAAGTTTGGCGCTCTCACCGTCGCTCTTCCATATTGACTTGCAAATCCCAAAACGGCTACGATTTAGATTCAGAAGGCCCCGCATACATCTAACGAGGGCCCAACGGGGCTCTTCTTTGCTCTCAAGATGGCCGCGACACATCTCCTGGAAGGGCTGGCAAACTTGCCAACAGTCCCAGGGGGACCCGAAACGGCACCAACATCATCAATCTAATTGGGCACTGGTGAACTTATTCTGGGCTGAAACGTGACCCAAGAGAGCCCGACAATTACTCCAACCGCGCCCCAAGAGGGTCCCAAAATGTCCCAAGATGTTCGGGCGCACGCGCATCAAACCCATAACGCATCCGAGCGCTCACATGGCTCGGAAACGCGCTGGTTGGAACATGTGCGTGCTCATTTCCACTTGTGTTAACAACACGCTTGGCCATTCGAGGCTCGTGCCCCTCCCCTACCCCTGCCACAGATCTTCTTCACTTCTCCTCCTGGAACTCCTCGTCCTCCCCCTCTTCCACTCCTTCTGCTCCGCGTCTTATCGCTCTGCCTCCTCCTCTTCCTCTTTTTCCTTCGCTTGGCCCTCTCCGAGGCAACCGAACAGCCCAAGACATCGTCATGAAAAATCTCGTTCGGGGGTCGGCGGAATGGCGTAAGCCCCTAAGACAACATCCACTCGATATAGCCTTCGGGAAACATCTAGCGGTAATACGTCCGGAACTGCGAAATGGCTGTCACTGCCTTCGTCGGGGCGGAGCCAGCACGTAACGATGCGACTTACCTACCCAAAATGTTTACGGTCCGGTCTTCTGCGCTCGTCCTTGCTACTCCAAGAATTTATCGTATTAGCGCGAATGATGCCTCAGAACGTTCGGCAAACAAGGCTGCGATCCGTCTACAACAATGACCATGAACGACGCGTATGTGCTTCTCACGTTGCCAAAACGATGCAACACGAAATATATCATGCTTTCCGGTTCCGGTTCTGACGTAATTGGTACATGCTCTGCACAATAGCTAAAGCACCTCGGCTGAACGGTGGACGCCACAATATGTCATCCGTCGTGAAACGCTGGTGTCCAAGAAGCCTGATTATGAACAAGTCCCCGCATCAATTGCGCCTGATGGTTACTTTGGACGAAGTCACACCGTGGCGACTCTGCTGCTGATGTCCTCCACCTACTGTTACAGTGGCAGCAACTACT